CATATATCAAGCTTCCTGAGTTTTCTGACACCAATGCTCAAAATTTCCTCAAGACAGCTCCAGCATCTCCCCACCTATTTACTAGAGGCAATCAGCATGCCAACATTTTAAAGATTCATCAACAATTACAGGTATATCACTAAGACATGAAATCCTGGCTCTTAGGAGAGTGATATCCTATCAATAAATTCTCCCTTCTTCAGGCTTAGATTTCATGCTCCCTGATCCAACACCCTCAAGGTCCACTCTCATATATGCACTACTAATTTCTGCCTTTGCAGATTTTTTAAGCTCTGCAGCTTTTTCAGTATTAAGCTATCTCTTACCTATCTACAGCAGAGACTGCATCTTCCTAGTCATGCTACATTGAGACCTGACACTTGTTAATGATCTGGAGATAATAAATGAAGGCAAGGGTACATTCTGGAAGAGGACAAACAACTCTTTAAGAAGCATAAACATCAAGTAAAATGTATACATTGTTGTCAGGGACAGGGAGGCTACCCTACTCTATCAAATGACAGAAGACTACCACTTGGAGCCAGGAGTCTTCAAGGGAATGAATCTAGGATTCAGGGCTCAGAGGTCATACTTGTGTCTCCACTGTATGCCTCAAACTCCCACTCTTCAACAGGCAGTGACTCTGCCATGGATGAACTGTGAGAGCTGACCTTTCAGTTTCATTTGCAGCCAGACAACATTATGATTAAATCCTGGGCATAATTTTCAACATAATCTGCTCTCTAGGGGTAAAGGTAAGAGTCTTCAAATGCTGTCATTAAGGCCATGAGATGTTCACAGCATGCCCTGAGTTGATTGAAGGCTCCTTCTTCAAGGCTTTATGGCAGTTAACAAAAGCAGTAAAGTCCACAATCACAGTTACTATCCCCCTATAACTTTCAAGTGAAATGATTCCTGCACAAACTAGCACTTCTCCTCCAACTTAACTTCATCCTATCAAACACAGTTAATATTCTCAATAATTATACTATACCACACCAGGATAACCACTATCCCACTTATAATTAGCATTATAGTGCTTACTGCCACCTAAGAAGTCATCCAGAACTCTCACCCTTCGTTGGCTGAGGATGATCCATCTTGGCATAAACTATCTTACCCTTCCTGGTTGCACTTGGCAGAAATGAGTACCTTTGGAACTAAAGATGGACAAAGATTCTCAGACTTTATGTGGAATAGGGGAAAGTACAGGAAACTGTCCACTACAGCTTTGTTGAAACTATCACAGCCATGGGAGTTAGGAAGATACATTGTTAAGTATCTGCCACAATATTTTATCAAAACTTCTTTCACCTATTTTTATTTTGTTAAGATAAATTATCTTCCACTGAAGAACACCAGGTTCTATCCCTAGGATTGTTAGAAGGCTAAAGAAAAAAAATTTAAATATCACCAACCTTCCTTACACTATTACATTGAAAAGGAATTTGAGTGAGACACTGCATTTCACAGAATGCAGATATGTGATGCCTTTACAGTGTGAAACTGATAAATTTTACAAAAATAATATACTGTGTTTCCTTTGAAGTCTACATGTTACTCCTCAAAAGTAAACAAGTTTCATAGATAATACCACCTCACTCATTATATATTTATCTTATAGTTTCTGTCTCCATTAAATTCATGTTTTAAGTTACCATTTCTGAGTTCCAGCTGTGGTTTAGGTCAGAGCCAGAACCCTGGCAAGATAAACAATGTAATGCCCCTTTGAATGAACACTTTGGCCCAATATTGAAACCCTGCCCACTGTCTCTGGTATTCCCCTTCCCCCAGCTTAGACCACAGGAAACACATTCTTAAAATTTTCTTCATTTTATTTCTTGAGCAAATGATGGAGTGCATGGGGGTAAAAAAAAAAAAAAAAAAAAAAAACAACCTTTAAAAAGGGCATGGACCTCCCCTCAATTCCTGTGGCCCCCAGGAGCTCTGCACTTTATTAACCTTGCAAACTTGAGCTCAAGTCTTCTACATTTCCAGTTAGTTTTGCTCCAGGCAAGACAGCATTCCTGTCACATCTCTCCCTGAAAATTCTTGTTTCCCTTTAGATTTGGGGCTATTTACCCTGTAATCTCAATTCTCCAATGATTTCCAGAAAACTCATGGATTTACAGTTTGCCCAGTTCTTGTTTCTTTCATTGTAAAGGTGGGAGTGATGCTCTTGCCAGGCCTCTTTGTCCTTGAACAAAAGCTTGAAATGCTATAACCATTTTCATATTCACTCCCTTGCTTTGCTAATATAATGTCTCCTGTTTACTATATTGTCCACCCAGAAAATTTTACCTCTCCTTCAAGTTCCAGCTCAAGTATCCTCTTCTCAAACTTTCCTGATCCCTCCAAGGTAAATTAATCCTGCCCTTTTGGTACTCCTTCAATACTTTCTTCATTCAATCCCATTATAAACTTATTAAACACTTACACTGTGGTACTAATGACATGGTCCTCAAAGAATTTCATTCTAGCAAAGTATACAGGCAAGTGCACAGATAATGCAAAGAATAAATTAGCACACCAGAAGAGAACCAAGTGTAGTTTGAGGAGGTTATGAAAAATATGCAAGATGTGATATCCAACTACATATTTAAAGCCAAACAAAAATTGTCCTGTGAAGAGGCAAAGGTTAGCAAGCATTTTAAATCAGTAATAGAGGAAATTAGTATATTATATTTTGGCTAGTCTCTCCACTGTTAGCCTGAAAGATACTTTCAGCAAAAACCATGTGATATTCATCTTCATTAACAGTACAAGCACTTACTTGATAATTATTTAGTGATCTGAATGACTAGCTTTGCTTCCTAACAAGAATTTTTTTTAGTATAAGCACACTCTAAAAAATAATTGCTTTAAGAATGATGATCCTATTTTCATTGCCTCATACTCAAAAGCCAAACAAATGAAACAAGGAAAAAATAATGAATATAATTCTATCTATAAAGGCTATCTACAAAATACTGTACAAATTAGTATTCCAATTTTTCACTTGCTTTTAAAAATCATAAAAAGAATTAGGGAAAAAAAGAATTAGAATTAGAGTTCATTCAGAATTCTATAGTTTTCTACTTTTTCATACATATGCCAAACCCTGTAACTCTGTATTTCTAAGTTTATAATCACATGATTTCAATTAATTAAAATACGGCTCTCACTTTTCTGGGAACAAAAGTATCTCACTAAAGTACCACATCACATTAGAGATAATTATTATAGATGGTTATATCACTTAAGCAAAACTATAGTACAAATTTAAATTGTCAGGTTTTTTTTTTTAAGATTTTTATTTATTCATGAGAGACACACACAGAGACAGAGACAGACAACAGACAGACAGAGGAAGAGACACAGGCAGAGGGAGAAGCAAGCTCCATGCAGGGAGCCTGATGTTGGACTCAATACCAGGTCTCCAGGATCATGCCCTGGGCTGAAGGCAGCGCTAAACTGCTGAGCCACCAGGGCTGCCCAATTGTCAGTTTTAATGATGAAATAATAGAATCTTGAAACAAAAATAAAATATTTCTTGTTAATGACTAGGACCTTATACATAATTTGTGGCAGGAGAGAGGGAGGCAAGAAGTAGTGCCAAACAAAAATGTAAGGCTCTTGTTAAAAATTTAGTTAAGAATTTCAAGATGGTGATAGTTAAACCAAGCACAACATGCTTCTATGCATGAAGGCCTGTGCAAATGCACAGGGTACGGACCCAAGAAGGTGTTCCTACTCATGGATACCAGTATTCAACAAAATATTAGAAGTATCTTCTGTCCTTGAACAAAGAACTCTGATTTAAATCCATTGGTATTGAGACCAAAATAGCCTTCCTTAATAGGAGTTTCCCTAAGACCTTATACTTTGATCTCCTTTTTAAGTTTAGAGATTATGAAGGGATAAAAACTGGTTATGTTCACCTTCTCTGAACTTGAAAACCTATGATACCTCAGTGGCTAGCCATAGTTACGACCATCTAGTTTGAAATGTTTAAAATAACTCTATAGCAGATAATATATTTGTTTTAAATTAAAAGAAACAAAATGATCATTTTCCATGGTTAACAGACTTCTTTGTATATGAAAGTTTTAGAGAATCCTTTTTTATTAGAGTTGATGATTCGTGTCAAATACAGTACATTTATGTCTAATGTAAGTACATATATACAACTCAGAAACAAAAATTATTTTAATATGATATGACATATGTAAATTAGAAAAAAGGAATGTTTAGGTAACATTAAACGACTACTTTTAAGGATTAATTTTTTTTGAGGGAGAGGATAATCTTGACAATAATTATAAAAAGACAAAAATTATTCATAAAACTACTGAATGCAGAGTAACAAAAGTGGGTTCATGTCTGGTGAAATAGAGAAATAAGTATAAGGAACCACTTGAAAGGGTTAAATGACTACAATTATAATTAATAATGACAGACTCAAAAGAAAGGCAAAAAATACATACTTTGAGTTATTTATTCAACATATGATGAACTATTTATTATATTTAACAATTATAAAAATAAAATGCAAATTTGGTGTATGTGTTTTCCCAAAAAATTAAGGATGTTTCTCTTTTTAGAGATACCAAAGACAAACATGTTCTATGGATTCCTTTAAAGCCTCCACAAAACTGCCAATTTTCTTTAAAATTTTTAATTTATTTCATGAGAGACACAGAAAGAGGCAGAGACATAGGCAGAGGAAGAAGCAGGCTTCCTGCAATAAGCTTGATGTGGGACTCAATCCCAGGACCTTGGGATCATGACCTGAGCTGAAGGCAGACACTCAACCACTGAGCCACCCAGGCATCCCCAAAACTGCCATTTTTTAAAGGCTTAACTGTTTATGAGAGTTGATAAAATGCAAGCAAAAATAGTTTACAATAATATTTGCTGCTTAACTAACACAACACCAAACTTAAAAAGGAAAACATATAACAATCAGTTTATAGCAAAAATACAATCCACGTAAATTCTAAAAAGTCATTTTTACTTACAATTGGCATTGATCACCTTTTATTCCTTTGGTTGTGCAGAAACATTTTCCTGTGTGCATATGACAAATATTCGCATGGCCACTACAGGTACAAGCTGTAAGTCAAAACGAAAATGACACTGAATATTCTCCATCACAAACATGCATCACATTTCATGCAGGGTTTTATTATTATCTTATTTTTGTACTGTGTATTTTCCTCTTGCTATCCAAAAATATTGGCTACACATAAGTTATTTTTTATTAAAGGGAAATAAGTTCACTTATTTAAAAATTTTGTGAAAACTCCTTAAAGTCTTTGAGGGTATCCTAATGTCTAGTATGGATCCAGGTATTATTACATTCTTCTTTAGACTCCTTTCTATTTTTCATATGATTCATGTATTTAATGAAATGAATTTCAAAAAGCACAAGAGTTTTGGAGTCAAACAGCTTAACTTCAAAATTTTCATCTATAATCACCAGCTACCTTGGGCAATGTATTTAACTTCTCTGCTTTAGCCTATTCATCTGCAAAAAAAAAAAAATAATAATAATAATACTTAGCTCTTAATATCCACAGAAGATTAAATGAGATCATGTATTTTTAAATATCTAACACATATCAAACACTTAGTAAGTACAGCTATTACTTCTACTATTATACTGCTAACAATAATAATAATATAGTTATATATCATGTAAAAAAGCATGTCTATTTATTGCCCCCAAATCATCTTATTAAGCTTCTGAGATCACCCTCAGTTTTAATATTCCAGAATATTAACTGAAACATTCCAGGGCATAATAGTTACACACAGTCAATTTGGTTCAGATGAACTCGTTTCATTTTCTTATGCTGCATTCCTTGTTAAAGATTAGCATTCCAACTATTTGAGACCCAAACTTTATACTTTATTGGGTCCAACATACAATCAAATGGCAGGTTCTAGTTTCAGCATGCACAATCTCTTTTGTATCTGACCCCTCCTTTTCATTGTCATAACCACTGTAATTGGTACTTCACATTGTCATTCACCTTCTCTTAATGACACCAATCACATTATCTGATCTTTGTACTGTCAGTTTTACTGACAGAATTACTGTCAGAATTACTGTCAGTAATTCTAGGCTACAGTGCATTTGCCAATCTTGAGACAGTCTAAAAAGACGAGGCCAACCATGCCACCAGCCCTTTGAAAAATCTTCAGTGAGAACTACTATGTGCCTGCATGCCTCCAGCTTGTTAAACCACTCTCTGATATAAATGAAACAATGTGTTTTTTTCCTGATTCACATACACATATAAAAATTAGTAAACGTGTCATAGGTTTTGATCAAAATATAAAATTAGAATTATAGAACACTAAGCATCTTGATAATTATGATTACTTGCTTTGAAAAATAATAGATGATTAATATAAAGTAAATATGCACACCCCTACACACACATAAAAAGTAAATTTTGGTACTAGGTAGATTCTTAACAATCTGGCTTTTTGCTACAAGAGATTTCTACATAAAAGTCTGATTTTTTTCTTCCTAAAGAATATTTAAATAAATCAGCATAATTTTCCTTTAAGTTTGTAGAATTAACTATGGAGACACACGATGTAGAATTACAGAAATGAATGACAAGGTGTAGTATTGTAAGGAATAAAGAAACCAATCAGCGAGCAATAATGGGACCCTAAGATATATTGATAAGACTTAACTTCATAAATAGTAAATGAATATGCCATGATAGCTTAATATTAACTTGCAGAGTTTCATATTAATAGTCTTATATCCAGAAATTTACTAAAAATAATAATGTACATTAATATTTTAAACTTGGATAAACCTTTTATATATATACCCTTTATGGCAGAAAGGGATAAAAGTTATGTTTGCAGAGTTCCTTAAAAGAATTATCATTGTATAGTAGCTTTAATAATTCCTGAGACCAAAAAAAATTGTGCTAAAATACCTTTTAATGTAAGCTCATTTTGAGAGAATTCCCCTGTGGTTCTGTATTCCAGGCTAAAATGGCACAAATGTATTTTAAATTCAATTGTTTAAAATTTATACTTCATGACAGGGTTGAAATTATTCTGTTGTCAGCGTTTGAGGTTATCTTTTTACGCTGAATAAGCACCTATGAAATCATTATATGGTGGCCTTTGGGAAATTTTATATGATGATGATTTTAGAGCCTAGACATACACTAGAGGGACATTATGTGGTCACATGTTATCTCTGTTCCTCTAAAGCATAAAGTTGCAGTATCAACTTACAACCAAAACTGAACAATAAGGACAGAAAAAAAAAAGGATGCTATAAGGGTTATTCTAACGAGTTGTACATGAATATACCTAGAAATATGAAACCAAAAAGTAGTAGTCATTGACAGCACTTGTTTCAAAGTCAGTTTATGTGCCAAAGTCCCTTTCATTGCTACATCACTGCTATCTGTTGAATACTTACAACAATAATTTCTGGAGGTTAGGAAATCATGTCCATTTAATATGCTTCATATACTTCTAGCATATTATACATGCTATTTAGTAGATATGGTATTTCAAAGAAGTAAGAATTTTGACAAAGGCAAATGTTCAAATAGCTGATCCAAAATTATATTTTTTTTAAGATTTTATTTATTTATTTGACAGAGACAGAGCGAGAGCAGCAAGAGAGCACAAGCAGAAAAAGAAGCAGAGGGAGAGAGAGAAGCAGGCTCCCTGCTCTGCGAAGCAGGCTTGATCTCAGGACTCTGGGGTCATGACCAGAGCAGAGGGGAGTTACTTAACCTACTGAGCCACCCAGGTGCCCCTAAAATTCTGTTCTTCAAACTTACATTTTTATTTAGAATTCTAAGCACAAATTTTCATCGATGTTTGGTTTATGAAAAGGGGAAACAATATAGCTGTTTCTTTCTGATATAAATAACATGAAATGTTGATACCAATAATATCTTAGCAATCTAATATTTTTCTCATTAAAAATGCCTGAATTACAACTATTGCTATATACTTGTGGTTGAGAGTGTAATTTTTTTCTACCAAAAAAGTGATACTGCTCATAATTAAAAATAGGCCACTGGGCTTACAGGGATTGCTTTGTGTAGTTAGGATATTTGATACCTGTATTGCCTAAATAAAGAGTAAGTAGTAAAACTCAGTAATCAAGCCCTAGCTCCAGTATTTTCTGAATGCTACAGAGTGTGAGGCACTGTTCTAGAACTGTAATTAAGATGGCAAACAAGGGATGCCTCGGTGGTTGTCAGCTGAGCCTCTAACTCTTGATTTCAGCCCAGGTCGTGATCTCTGGGTCCTGAGATGGAGCTCCTCACTGGACCCCATGCTCAGCAGGGAGTCTACTTGAGGATTCTCTCTCCCTCTCCCTCTGCGCCTCCTCCCCTCTCCCCTGCTTATGTGTTCTCTTTTCAAGTAAATAAGTAAATCTTTAAAAGAAAAAGATGGCAAATAAAAAATCTAGAACTTAATTAACTGGAATCTTCAAACAAATGGCATTGTTTCAAGGATTTCAGTAATAGGTTAAAAAAATCTAAAGGGCCCAGAGGGCTGGAAGATATATATTTTATATTCCAAAGCTTTCCAACATATTCAAAGATGGAAAGAAGAGACTCTAACCATCTATTCTAACTATATCCCTGGGGACAAATCTGGCCCATTTCCTAATTTTTGTATAGCCCATAAGCTAAGAATGGTTTTTACATTTTTAAAGGATTGTGAAGAAAGAGATAGAGGAGAAGATAGAGATGAAGGAGGAAAGAAGGAGGAGAAGGCAGAGGAAGAGGCAGAGGCAGCAATGGCAGCAACCATAAGTGGCCCACAAAAGCAAAATTTATTATTTAACCCTTTAGAGGAAAAAAAAGCATGCCAATCCCTGATCTATAATCGCAAAGCCTGGAATCACATATTTGCCAGTTTTCCATTCTGATTTATTTTTAAAAACTGAAACCATATTTAAAACAAGTTGGGTCATTTTTTTCCTAACAGAAAAGGGTTAAGCAAAAACATTCAAATATTAAAAATTTCACCATAAAAATTTTAACTCAGCCTCTGGAATTATATTCTTAATACCCTGTTTACTTTCATATGTTTACTTTTAAAAAAGAGTAATTTTAATCTTGTGTCATTTTCTTTGATAAAAGAATAAGCCTTTAGTCATATTTCATTTTCTCACTCTAGCTAGCTAAATTTCTTGACTATTGCTAATGACTACCATTAAAGTATTTAAATCCTTTAAAATGACTCCTTATGCTTTATTTATTTAATCTGGTTTACATTCATCTAAAAAATAGAATAAAATATTAATATCCTGAGCTATAACTGAAGATTTAAGAATGACACATTATTAGAAGCTATTCACAAAGATTACTACTTGCCACAAGTTCAAATTCTTAAATTCCAACTGAATTGTTATTTTATCTATTTTGAATCTGCATTGTTTTCAATGAGATTACTTTAAAAGATTGCCTTGAATAGATACTAGACCATGAATCAAAGAATCTGAAAAGGCATTGAATATTATGTTAAAAACATAAAATTAAAAAAAAACATAAAACATTTTGTAACACAGTAATATTTTGTATCTATATAGGGCTGTACTACTTTTGAAATACTTTCATACATGTTACCTCTTAAAACTTTCAGTTTACATATTATAGCCATCTGACAAAAGAACAACTTCAAAGAAAGGGAAAAAAATTTTTATCAGAATTGATAAATTGATTACATCATCAAAAAAATGCAAAGAAAAAAAAGCCAGAAAACACTAAAAAAGAAAAGCTCAAGAAAAAGAACCAGCGTACAAGATATTAAAGCATTGATAAGCCCTCTATAATAAAAAAAAACCTGTGTTACTGGCACATCAATAGACATATCAGCAGAGTAGAATACAAAATCCATAAACAAAACCAAATATATATGAAACTTCAAAATATTAAAGGCTTGTATATTAAATCAGGGATCAAAATGAATTTTTTAAAATCAATGTCAACAGGACAACTGGTGGAAAAAGGTCAATTTAGATCCATACCTCAAAACATACACAAAATTAAACTCTAAAAGCATTAGTGATCTAAATGTAAAAAAAAATAAACCACACAAGT